TTTAAAGCAGAAAATTGGTGTTGTGGTTCATTTGTGGATAGAGTTGAACTAAGAAAACAATGCTCACCTATGAGTTCTACACATTTGTAACAATGTGTAAGGAAGCTTCTCTCTGTAGAAAGCTAAATGGGATTAGCCTCTGGCTGTTTGTTTTTGTTTTGTTGTGGGGGGTTTTGGGGAGTTGGGTTTTTGTTTTTGTTTTGTTTTTGTTTTTAGTCTCTTTTTCCATTATGTCTCAACTTTTAGAAGCAAGTTTGGATTCTTTCTCTTGCTCCATTTAATGATGTTCATCTTCCTCAATTACTTCATTCTACCTCAGAATTCCCAAACATTCCTCAGGTTGGGCAAGCTGCCTGGCAAAAGCTGTTGTACCCCCTGGAGGGGAAAAGCTGAGGGGAAAAGCTTTGGAGAAAACTGAGGATTGACTCCTCCCCACTGATACTGTCAAAAACAGTTAGCCAGCCCGTCACTGAGTTCACAGACGCTATCTAGAAATTATTAGGATCTCATAGCAAATGGAACAACCACACATCCCATATTGCTTCAGAATCCCTTGTGGTCACTGTGTCTACAACATGTAAAGGATAAGTGTCCAAAGAGGGATGTCTTTAAATACCAGTTTCATGTTTTTATGGTAAATAAGGATCTAGGATTTTCATAGTGACGTTAAGGTGATGGAAGTACAGTGTCTTTTGCAGGGGAAAACTTGCTTTATTGAGTTGAAATACTGCCCTCCTTATCTGGCTTAACAGCTTTCTCAGGAGTCTGGCAGCAAGCTGGGAAGAGAGGAGTGATTGTTTGGGGCTCATTATGTGGTCACTTTTACAGGCTTCAGGAAAGAATCTAAACTTGAATGATGAAAGTCAGCATGGCTTGCTCATGCAACTGCTCAAACTCACTCATAACTGCCTAAACTTTGATTTCATCGGCACTTCTACTGACGAGTCCTCAGATGACCTGTGCACAGTACAGATCCCCACCAGCTGGAGATCAGGTAACAGAATTTTACCACCTGGGACAGACTGCTGCTGCTCAGACCTGCACAGCGTCTGTGGGATGACAACCCTTTGCTTGTCGTTAGAGACGATTTAGAAGGTCAGCATCTGCCTTGATAAAGTGAGGAAGAGGTTGTTGGAGGAATCTTACAGATCCCTCAGCCTCAGAGCCTTTTTTTAGTTACTGGGTTACTAACGAATGTAACTTTGACCTTCCTACATTAATCACCTAGAGACCTCTGTGATCTTACTCATTTGACATAATTTCTAGCTTTAAAAATGAAATAAAAGAACTTGTTCTTATTCTGTGTTCTTTAGGATAAAACTTGAACACAGTCCTGATTGGTTTAAGTTCTCTGAGAGTCAGAAAAATGAATCTGTCTCTTAGAGGAGCTAAAACCTAGTTCTCTAAAAACAACAGCGAGGGAAACAAAAAGCCCCTCTTACCTTGTCACTTTGAAAGGAGGTAAACACTGGGAGATAGGAAAGCAGGGAGATGTCCACTGATACATAGTCCCATGTGTACCACTGGCAATGAGCAGACATACTCAGTAACGCACTCCTTTGTCTTTTTCCAGCATTCTTAGATTCTTCAACTCTGCAGCTGTTTTTTGACCTGTATCATTCCATCCCTCCTTCATTTTCACCTCTGGTGAGTCAGGACCACAGTTTCTAAAACAAACCTACTTCTAGAAAGTAGCAATGGTGAATGAGCCTTATGCTTGTTCATTTTGTTGTATAAAATCCTAGAAGCAAGGCATAGAAATAGTGGGGGTAGTTATCTAGCCTTTTGTGGTAAAGCTTGTACCCTAAAGGTTCTTGCAGTAAAGTCTTAACTTAATTCTCTCTAAATTATTCCTGTCTAATGACAAATTGCTGCAGATGTCAAGCTCTTTTGGTCTCATCTTGAATCTGACTTTATACTACACCTCAAATCACAGGCTGGAGTGGGAGGGTTCACCTTGTATTGTCTAAATGAAGATGATCCTGCCCAAGAAAAGTTTTTAAAATCCTCAGGCACATGTTACATAGGTGATAAATGGAAGCTGTAAGGGGAAGACAAATTTGTATACTATCCTGGACAACATTTGAGGGCTCTTGGAAGTAATGCATTTCTTCTTTAAAGCAGAATAATTACCCTCCTCAAATCTCAAAATTATCCAGGTCCTAAGAGATACTGGTCTCGTATTTCAAATTGTTTGGTGTAAAATGCTACTGTACGAAACACAAATAAAACAGGAAAGTAATGGATGTTTTGCATAGTTTTTCTACAGTAGACTGTTTTCCTGATTATTATGGTACTTTTCCAAATGTAGACCTTTGCTTTAGTAGAAACATGAATACATTGCTGTTTGTATCTTTATGTTTACTTCAGGAAAAGGTAGCTCACTCAAGAGGGGTAGTTAGTGAAAGGACTATTTGTAAAGATATGTGGGCAACGTTAAGGGAATCCAACAAGGGGTGGTGAGGTGCCATACACCCTTAAGGGAGTGCAATAGTGGGGAGCCCTTGGGGGCAAGAGAAGGAAACCCTGGAAAGAGCTGAAGCTGTGGCTTAGGGGAGGGCTGGACAGCAGAAGTAGGGACACTGCCAATCATGGCCCAGCCAGGAGTTGAGAGGGGGTGCCTCTCTCTTCCTGCCCTTAATCTCCTGCTAGAACTTTCCAGTGGTTGAGGCCTACTAGAGGCAAGAGGGCAGTGGAGCTTGGCTCTGCTTAGTTAACAGAAGGCAGCTTCTGAAGGAGTAGAGCAGTGTGGAGAAGGATAGAAGATATAGATCTGGAGGGGCAAACAGTGTAAATATCTAACATAGTGGGGAAAGAGAAGTGTTTTCAGTATAAAGCCTGGGTTTTTTTAGGACACAGATATAACTTGGTTATTTCATTATAGCACTACATAGCAAAGCCTGATGAGCCAAAAGTCTTCATGAAACAGAGAAAACCAAATCTAAAACTTTACTTAAACTATGAATTGAATGATATTTTAAAACCTTAAATACATATCTTAACAAGAATCAAAGAAGCCGGTAGGTGGTCAAAGAATAATACCTAAGTGAATTTCTAAACTCTGGATTTAACTAGTTGTTATGGTAACTTGGATCTAATGGGGTTTTTTTTCTTGTAATAAAGCTGTTTCCAATATCCTAAGTTGCATCTTCCTCAACTTTTTCTACATCATTGAAATGGTAGCAGGGGTTGAAAGAAAAGAATTAATGGCATATGTAAGAAGAATATTATAGGAGGGGAAGGAGGGAAAAGATAATATGGAATAGCCATATCATCTTTTTAATCAATTGTGTTTGGATTGCATCTGCTTTTAGGTATTATCCTGCTTAGTACAGATTGCCTCAGTCAGAAGATCCCTGTTTAATAATGCAGAGAGGGCCAAGTTTCTCTCTCATCTTGTTGATGGTGTTAAACGAATACTGGAAAACCCACAGGTAAGATTTTTGAGAATTTATTTTTATTTGAATAAATACATACATATATATGCTGTTGTGGGGGTGGGGGTGATTAGTATATGCCTATCTGTTAGGAGTCAGAAGGAAATCCATCTAGAGGCCACACTTAGCAGAAATCCTAGAGAGCAGTTGGGTGTGTCATTCTTCAGAAGGTTTAAGTGAATCTGTATCTGTAGGCAGTTTCTTGATCCCAAACGAGGGATTTGTATGCTCTCGCTTCAAGAATGCAGGACTTATACAGGAAAAATAGGGAGAGAGCTAGTCATTTTCCCTCAAGAAATGTGGTTTTTGTTTTTGTTTCTTTTTTTTTTTTAATATACATTATTTACCTAAGTGTATAGGGCTGCTTTTAGGTGGGAAGAGAGATAAAGTGCTTTTTCTAATATATACATTCTGTAACTCGATTGCCCTTTTTGTCTTTTTCAGTCCCAGAGATTCAGCCAACACCTACTTTTCTTAAAGTACCACTTCTCTATACTAGGAAATACCATACAAGCATTTCATTTTTAAATATACTTAGTCCTGTCCCTCTGTTTAAAAAAATAAAAAAAAATTTTTTTTTGAAGTTGAAGTATAGTTGTCTCAGAATGTTACATTAGTTTCAGATGTACAACATAGTGAAACAACTCTTTATGTTATGGTATTCTTACCTCAAGTGTAGCTACCATCTGTCACCACACAACACTACTACAATACCGTTGATTATATTCCCTGTGCTGTACCCTTTTATCCCTGTGACTTATTGACTCCATAGCTAGGAGTCTGTATTCCCACTCCCCCTTCACCCATTTTTGGTCATCCCCACAAACCTTCCCCTTTGGCAACCATCAGTTTGTTCTCTGTATGTATAGGTCTGTCTCTGCTTTTTTTTGTCTGTTCATTTGTTTTGTTTTTTAGATTCCACATATAAATGAAATCATATGGTATTTGTCTTTCTCTGTCTGCCTCTCTGTATATATGCACACACATACACACACACACACCACTTTTCTTTATCCATTCATCTGTCAGTGGACACTTACGTTGCTTCCATGTCTTGGTTATTGTGTTGTATATGCTGCAGTACACATAGGGGTACATATATCTTTTCAGGTTAGTGTTTTTGTTTTCTTTGAGTAAATAAATACCCAGTAGTGGAATTACTATATCATATGGTATTTCTGTTTTTACTTTTTTGAGGAACCTCCATACTGTTTTCCACAGTGACTGCACCAATTTACATTCCTCCCAACAGTGCATGGGAGTTTGTTCTTCACCATATCCTCACCACCATTTGTTATTTTTTGTCTTTTTGGGTCAAGATTTTTTGTTTGGTTTAAAGTAAGCTCTACAGGGCGCCTGGGTGGCTTGGTCGGTTAATCGTCCGACTTCGGCTCAGGTCATGATCTCACGGTCCGTGAGTTCGAGCCCCATGTCGGGCTCTGTGCTGACAGCTCAGAGCCTGGAGCCTGTTTCAGATTCTGTGTCTTCCTCTCTCTCTGCTCCTCCCCTGTTCATGCTCTGTCTCTCTCTGTCTCAAAAATAAATAAACGTTAAAAAAAAAACATTTTAAGTAAGCTCTACACCCATTGTGGGGTTTGAACTCATAACTCTGAGATCAGGAGTAGCATGCTCTAATGACTTAGCCAGCCACGTGCCCCAGTATTTCTTGTCTTTTTTTAACTAGCTATTCTGACAAGTGTAAAGTGGTAGTATCTCATTGTGGTTTTGAGGATTAATGATATTGAGCATCTTTTCATGTGTCTGTTGGACATCTACATGTCTTCAGAAAAATGTCTATTCAGATCCTCTGCCCATTTTCTAATCAGGTTGTTTTTTGGTGTTGAGTTGTAGGAGTTCTTTATATATATTGGATGTTAACTCTGTATTTATATCATTTGCAAATATCTTCTCCCATTCAGTGGGTTGGTCGTTTTTTCATTTTGTTGATGGTTTCCTTCACTATGCAAAACCATTTTATTTTGGTATAGCCCCAGCACTTTATTTTTGCTTTTGTTTCTCTTGTCTGAGGACACATATCTAAAGAAATGTTGCTGTAGCCAATGTCAAGAAGTTGACTACCTACATTTCCTTCTAAGAGTATAATGGCTTCAGATCTCACATTTAAGTCTATAGTCCATTTTGAGTTTATTTTTTGTGTATGATATAAGAAACTGGTCCAGTTTCTTTTTTTTTTTTTTTTTTTGCATGTAGCTGTCCAATTTTCTCAGCAGCATTTATTGAAGACTGTTAAAAATGCATTTATTCATTTAACAAATACACAGATCACCTACTATGTGCCAGGGATGTGTTGGTGAACAAAACAAAGTATGCTAATAGAGGAAGACCTGTGTAAGAAAACAGATATGTTTGTCTAATATGCAAGCAAATCCAAAGTGTTTGATATAAGTATGAAGTAAAACACATAAACATTCTAATATAGGACTAAATTTATTATAACAATGGTGATATAATGTAAATAAACTAAACATTTGTGTAACTTTGCCACTGAAGTGTTAGTCTTATTTAATGATCTGACAGATGTGAGAATGAAAATTTCATAATTTTTTTATCAGTATAAGACCAGTCATATCTTAGAATGTGCTCCTTTTATGCTATTTAATAGCTGCTTTAGGCAATTAATGTGATCCTTCTGGGCTTCTATTTCAGACTCTTTATTGATGCTAGAAATTTTATCTCACAGGATGATTTTTATGAACACATGAAATAATAGATGCGACCGTCCCTTTTTAAAAACAACTTTTAAAAAAAATTGTTTTTAAACATCCTAACAGAAGTTTCATTCTTTTTTTTTATTATTATTATTAATTTTTTTTTAAACATTCATTTTGGAGAGACACAGCACAAGTGGGGGAGGGGCAGAGAGAGAGGGAGACACAGAATCCGAAGCAGGCTCCAGGCTCTGAGCTGTCAGCAAAAAACCATGACTCAGGGCTCGAACTCACGAACCGCAAGATCATGACCTGAGCCAAAGCTGGGCGCTTAACCAACTGAGCCAACCAGACACCCCGAGATGTGTCATTCTAAGGGAGGACCTGTAGCTCAGAAGTTAAAGTAGATTCTCCTTTCCCCTCATGCCATCCCAAATGTCACTCTGGAAGTATAGTGAATCACATTTTACATTTCATTTTCCTTCTGTGCTGTCACCAGAGTTTATCAGACCCAAACAATTACCATGAGTTTTGCAGACTACTGGCCCGATTGAAGAGTAACTATCAACTGGGAGAATTAGTAAAGGTGGAAAACTACCCTGAGGTCATCCGATTGATAGCTAACTTCACAGTGACCAGCCTACAGGTTTGTCTTTGATTGCTTGTCTCTCTCTTACCTACACATAGGAACCTTTTCTCTGGCTCATTGGTTTTAAACTTCTAAGAATACAGGCAGACCTCGTTTTCTTGCACTTCACTTTATTGCGCTTCACAGATACTGCATTTCTGACAAAGTGAACGTTTATGGCACCCCTGCGTCGAGCAAGTCTTCTGTCTGTGCCATTTTTCAGCACCATTTGTTCACTTCATGTCTCTGTGTCACATTTTGGTAATTCTCCCAATATTTCATGCTTTCTCATGTGTATTACAGTGATCTGTGATCAGTGATTACAGCTTCCTGAAATCTCAGATGATGGTTAGCATTTTTAGCAATAAAGCATTTTTTAATTAAGATATATACATTGTCTTTTTAGACATAATGCTATTGCACACTTAATATACTACAGTATAGTGCAAACATAACTTTCTTATGTGCACTGGGAAACAAAAAATTCATTTGACTCACTACTGTAGTGGTCTGGAATCAAACCCGTGGGTGTGCCTGTATTCCCTTTTTTCCCTCAAGCCAAAGTGAATAGAAGTGTAGGGCAACTCTGCAGAGTAGTTCTTGCAGCCTACTCATTTGCATTTAAAAAAGTGCAAGGATTTGGTTAGAGGCATTTGTAGGAATTGCAGGGATAATATTTAGATTATCACTCTGAAAAAGGCAAGATTGGAACAGGGAGCTAGACAGAAGAGGGAAGAGTTAGTGACATCTTTATCTTAGTCACGTAGTATAAGGCAGTGGTTCTCAAATTTTATGGCTTGATTCAAAATCCTCTGGAGTTTGATGAAAAATGCAAGTGCTTGTCTTACCTCCATAATTTCTGCTTCAGTAGGTCCAGGGTGGAGCCTAAGTGTCTCTGTGTCCAACAAGTTCTCCCGGTGATCCTCATGGATACTAATGTTTGAGAACCACTTATGCAAGGCTTTCCTTGTGGGAAGGTTTACACAACCAGGATAGAACAGCTCTTTTTATTAGATGGTTAATCTCTGAAATACTAATAACTACATTGGATGAGTTGTCATGCACAGAACAAAGCCCATAAAAATCTGTCTTTTTTTTTCCCCAAGTCTTTATCCTTTGTGTCAAGTGGCATGGGACTAATGTTTGTGTACAGAAATGAGAAGTATACTTCCTACTCTTTTGGCTTTCCTTAGCACTGGGAATTTGCCCCGAATAGCGTGCACTATCTCCTGAGCCTGTGGCAGCGGTTGGCAGCCTCTGTGCCATACGTGAAAGCCACAGAGCCCCACATGCTGGAAACTTATACTCCTGAGGTCACCAAAGCCTATATCACATCCCGTTTGGAATCTGTGCACATCATACTGAGGTAAGGAACCTGGGACAGGGTTCTGTATTCTCTCCCCAGTTGCCTGGTGTTGGACTTGCCAGAGATTAGACACCCACTTGGCAAAGGCATTCTTGACATGATTCTCTTTTGGAGCTAATGCTGTTAATGGCCATTTTTTCATGTCAGCAGAATAGCAGATGAGAGCATAAAATCTGAAAGAATAGTCTTTCTCTTTAACATACTTATTATGTCCCTCTTTTTTGCCATCCTTAGTAATATCTTTGACTACTAGGAATATCAGTATACTGTTTGTCCTTGCCACTAATTTCCTTTAAACATGAGAGGAATATTTATAAGCTATAGATGATAAGAATTATGTATAAGCTATAGGTGCTTTATTTTCCCGAAGAAATAAATGGATAAATAAGATGACACAATCCACAGCTTACTAGGAGATGATCCTAGGCAGTGGATAGCCGATTGTATTATAGGAACACATGGTTTCTGTCTACCTTGACTGTTAACTAGACCAGAAATCTATAGCTAAAGAAATGTTAGACCCTTTCAAAAATGACTTGTATAAAGTGAAGTTATTCTTTGTTTAGGGACCTTTCTTGTAGATTTTTTTGTTAGCTGTTTTTCAGGGTAGTTTACTTGGATTCTGAAGGTCTGAGGTACTTTTAAAATCAGATCTTAATTGGCTCAGAGTCAAATACATTTAATTGCCATGAGTGATAGTCTCAACTGTTAATGACTTGAATCATTTCAAAATCCAAGTATTTGTGAAGCCCACTAGAAAGCATCATTCTCTCTCTTTTTTTTTTTTTTTTAACATTTATTTTTAGAGAGAGCACAAGCAGGAGAGGGTCAGAGAGAGAGGGAGACAGAGAATCCCATGGAGGCTCCGCGATATCATTGCAGAGCCCGATGTGGGGCTGGATCTCACAAACCATGAGATCGTGACCAGAGCTAAAATCAAGAGTCAGACACTTAACTGACTGAGCCCTCAGGAGCCCCGAAAGCATCATTCTCTTAGTGACATAGTTTCTGTTCCTGAGGATTCAGCTGGTTTCATTGAGGCAGTGTTGAGGAGTGGTTAGACGTGCAGGCTCTGTGCCCAGGGAAGCCAGTTAATAGCTGTATGCTCTTGGGCAAGGTTATTCGAAGGATCACACAGCTATGTCCTGGCCAAGTGTGTGGACCATGGTGCACCCACAACTGTGAACTCTAGCTGTAGTGGGGGCGGTGTTGCAGCCGCTGGGGTGTCACACTACAATGTAGCAATAGACAAAGAGCTTGCAGTATGACAAGATTTTTAAATCTAGGAGCAGTAGGTAAGGTAGGACCTGGTATAGATCCACAGCGCCTCAACTGCAATTCTGAAATCCAAGATCTAGAACCAAATTTTCTCATCAGTTTGGAATGAAAATGCATTTGGTGGCAAAACTTGGCATGTGCTAGTATGAGCCCATTTATAGTTTTTTCTAAAACTTATGTTTTTTGTGACTATTCATAATATTGATACATTTTGCTACAGGAATGTTGTATTTGATACCCCAGAGAGTCCATTGAGGGTTCATATTATATGGTAGAAGCATTCATATTGCTTCATTAAAATCTGGAGATTTCTGGAGATTGGGCCACAAAGACCGCACACGAGGACAGGATATTTGTAGTCCCAAAGGTTATTATAGTCAAGGACCAAGAGCCCCTGGGGTGAGAAGCATAAGATAGAGAGGGTTGAGGCAGACGAATGTTAAGGGAGCAGTTGTTCAGATCAAAAGACTGGACACGAACACACAGAATCTATCTAAAGAAGACGCATGCTAGGGTGACGACACTGGTCTTCCCACTTTTTATATATGTTCCTTCTGTGCAAAAGGGAGTGTAGGGATGTGGGCCTCTACCAGTGTAAGTGTTGGCTAAATGCAGAAGAACAAGAGCTGTCGTGGTAAGGAAATCAATGGCATATTTTAAGAGAGCCGCCTTCTTCTTCCCTCGGGAGCAGGGATGGACTGGAAGACCCTCTGGAGGACACAGGCCTGGTGCAGCAGCAGCTGGACCAACTGTCTACTATCGGACGTTGTGAATACGAGAAGACCTGTGCACTCCTTGTGCAGTTGTTCGACCAGTCTGCCCAGTCCTATCAGGAGCTGCTACAGAGCGCCAGCGCAAGCCCCATGGACATCGCCGTGCAGGAGGGTGAGTGGGTGGGGGATGCGGCCTGTTAGGCGGTGCTGCCGGTACCCCTTCACTCATTGCCACCTCTCTCTCTCTTTTTTTAATGTTTATTTTTGAGACAGTGCAAGTCGGGGAGTGGGGGAGGGAGGGAGAGAGGCGAGACACAGACTCCCAAGCAGCCTCTGCACTGTCAACACAGAGCCAATCAGGGCTCCACGCAGGGTTCCTCCTACTCACGATTTTGACCTGGGCCGAAATCAAGAGTCAGATGCTCAGCCAACTGAGCCACCCAGGCGCCCCTTATCACCACCTCTCTTTCCTCCCTTTACCCCAAAATGACTCTTCCATCATTAGTTACCTCCATCTGCACAAAAGGCTATTATAAATAAATGCCACAGGTAGCTGGGGAAGAGTAACCAAAATCTTATCTACATGGATGTCTTTAACTTCAAGAAAGTACTGGACTCTAAAAGTAATGACCTTGTCTGATAGGAGAATGTCTGTTACCTAATGAATTTCCCCCTTGGCATCACCCTTAGCAGAGTGGGGTGATAGCTATACTCTGTAGGAAAAGTTAGGCATTATAGCTTTACCATAGTGTTCTTAAGATTACAGAAGCCCATAGTAAGAAATGAACCTCACTGTGAGGAAATTTCTTCAATGAAGTAACCACTGGAGTGGACACTAATAGATCTTCTTCCTGTTGCAGGAAGGCTGACATGGCTGGTTTACATCATTGGCGCAGTGATTGGTGGCCGGGTTTCATTTGCCAGCACTGATGAGCAAGATGCTATGGATGGCGAGCTTGTCTGTCGGTAAGTGGTCTCACAGAGGCTTTCTATTTCACTGCTGTGACTGCCACCGCTCCTTTTGGTGTTCTCAAACCACGGGAGCCTGGCCTGCTTCTGTTAGTGCTTTCCTCCCCATGTATAGAATGTAATCTCACAAACCTGATTGCCCATGAAAATGAAGGTCCAACTGCAGACATTTTATAAATACATTTTATAAATATAGCAGGAATTCTACCTTCAGCTTTTACTGAGGAAACATCTGCAGTAATTCAGCAAGGAAATGATAGATACAGAATTAGGAAAATGACAGTAGGGAGTAGCTTTTAGTTTTAAGGACAGTATCTCAGAGTTAATGAAATGTGGACTACTTTTGCAATAGCAGAGTGAGACTAATAGGAAACTGTGGTTCTTCAAATATTTCCAAATATGGAATTGCAGAGTTTCTGCAGCCTTTCAAATCTCTTGACATAACTTTTCCACCCAGAGGATTTCAAGTTACTTTGTACCTGTGATTCTTATCCATCTTTCTAAAAAAACCTATAAATGAACATTTAATGATTTCTAAAATTTCACCTAACACAGAAATAAAAAGGCAGGATTTTTTAATACTCTATTGCAGAGGTTCTCAAACCTTTTCACCAAGACTGTTCGTCCTCTTAAAAAGTATCGAGGATCTCGGGGCCCCTGGGTGACTCAGTCCATTGAGCATCCAGCTCCTGATTTTGGTTCAGGTCATGATTTCATAGTCATGAGATCGAGCCCCACATCAGGCTCTGTGCAGAGCATGGAGCCTACTTGGGATTCTCTCTCTCTTCCTCTTTTTGCCCCTCCCCTGCGCACATGCATGCTCTTCCCCTCTCTCCCTCTCTGTCTCTCTCTCAATAAATAAACTTTAAAAATAAATAAATAGTATTTGAGAATCTCAAAGAGCTTTTGTTTATAAGATATAGCTATCAAAAGGACACCCGGGTGGCTCAGTCACTTAAGCTTCCCACTCTCGGTTTCGGCTCAGGTCATGATCTCACGGTTTCATGAGTTTGAGCCCCGTATCATGCTCTGTGCTGGTAGTGTGGACCCTGTTTGAGATTCTCTCTCTCCCTCTCTCTGCCCCTCCCCTGCTCACACTGTCTCTGCTCTCTCAAATTAAATAAAACTTAAAAAGAAAATAAGATACAGCTATTGATATTTTTCGTATTAAAAAGTAAAACTGGGGTGCATGGCTGGCTCAGTAGAGCATGCAACTCTTGATGTCGGTGTTATGAGTTTGAGCCCCACGTTGTGTGTAGAGATTACTGAAAATCTTTTTTAGGGGCGCCTGGGTGGCTCAGTAGGTTGAGTGTCTGACTTTGGCTCAGGTCATGATCTCACAGTTAATGGGTTCGAGCCCCGTGTCAAGCTGTGTGCTAACAGCTCAGAGCCTGGAGCCTACTTCAGATTCTGTGTCTCCCTCTCTCTGTCTGTCCTTCCCCCACTCATGCTCTGTCTCTCTATCTCTCAAAAGTAAATAACATTCCAAAAAAAATCTTTTTTAAAAAATAAAAATAAGTAAAACTGAGAAAGTTTAAATTTATTCATTTAAAAATAACAATAAGCCCAAAACATGTCAACAGAAATAATGTTTTTTTAAATATTTTTCAAAAAAATTAATGAGAAAAGTGTCTTTGTTTTAATGTGTGGCCCAGAAGTCAGCTGGATTCTCAGATCTGTGTCCGCATTCAGTCTGTCATGATGTCATGCGTCTGGTAGCCACTGGACACCCCAGTGCACCCTCCTGTCAGAATGCAAGTAGAAGAGCAGGTCATGTTTCAGTATTGTGTGACCTTGGGGAACCGCCACCCTGAAGGTTTCTGAACTTTGAGATGCTCTCCTTAGAGATAAGCACATTTTAACATGATGCCTTAGAATATATTGGTTCCCAGACATTTCAATCCGTAATTCCTATTCTGAAAATTCCCATTTGTCTGTTATCAGATGCCCGTATGCCCTTAGGTGCCTTAATCCTGACAAAAGTCTTCACGGCATGTCACACTGGCATTTTTTGAAGAGCCGACCAAAGATTTGATAAGGATGAAAGCAAATAAGCTTTCTGATTCAGCAGCTTGGTGTGACACTGTGTGTGTGTCCTAATATAAATTGAAGACAGTGTCTTGTATCCTCGTTTCTCACACTGAGTGTTACAGCATCAGGCCTGAGTCTGATTCACTCATGATGTGTCGGAAATAGTTTATCACCTGTTCTCATGTCATCAAAATGTCAGATGACTTGCTTGTAATAACACTCATTCAGTACTTATATGCTTGCATTCCAGCATTCTTTCGCCAGGAAAAGGCTCGGGGAAAAGAGACAAGGTCACAGTAGCACAGGGATGAGGTCACGGTGGTATATCTGCTCTTGGTTCCTGGAGCTTTTACCTACCTGTGGGCATTGTCCTTCATGGGTCCATTCCCTTCATGGCTCTGTGGGAAAAAAGATTGAGGACCATGGGCTTAGTCCAGTCTCCCTCGTTTTATGGGTGAGGAATTGGGACTCAGAAAATAAATTGCTTTACTCAAGGTCTCACAGAAGTTTCAGGAAGACCAATACCCCAATACTGGTCGGGGGCGGGTGGGGTCCACTATTTTTAAGCTAATTATGAGTTCTGATTCAGCCTACGGTCTCAATGGACTAGAAGTTTTAAACATCCAACCGGACATTCATATTCATTCTCTGGCTATGGTTCCTATGGGGGCAGAAATAGAGAATTTTGTTCTCTCAGCAGAGCATAGAGCCTGTAGAGAATGCCTTTTAGATAGGATGGGTAAGGAGAGGAGACACATATGACCATTGGAGGGTAGGTTGGATTTTCTAAAGTGACCAGGATATCCTGCTGTTGAGAGAATCATTGCTCTTCTTCCTCTAGGGTGCTCCAGCTGATGAACCTGACAGATTCTCGCTTGGCTCAAGCGGGTAACGAGAAGCTAGAATTGGCCATGCTGAGCTTTTTTGAACAGTTTCGTAAGATCTACATTGGGGACCAGGTGCAAAAATCCTCTAAGGTAACAGACTCTCAGTTGGCTCTACTTCTTTCTCACTTGGGCTTGCGGAATTGCTAACTAAGAAACATGTGATAACAATTCAGACACGGGTTTTAGTATCAGGATAGTCCACGTCTCTTCTTCATCTGTAGAATTTTGAGAGATTCATCAAAGAATTGGGTCCGTCTCTCTAATGCTCCCTATGCTTAACAAATGGCCAGTCAAAACATCTGTTGGTCTCAACACTGGCAATTCTCAGTTTCTGTACATGAATTGATACTGAGAACAGCAGAAGGTTTTGATAGTCTTTATAATCTCAGGGTCGAAGGGGACTGGTAAGATAGCTCAGCATCTATCCAGTGTCAAGTAATACTTCGAAACTAGCTTAATCCCTTCAACAAAGACTTCCCCTACAGTTTTGTCCATTTTCTTCCCGCATCTTACCCCTGAATAAGGACGAACACAGTACTGAGATGTGATTTTTCTAATCCATATTTTCTGATTACTTTCTCTTCCCTTAACACAACACCAGCTGTACCGCCGACTCTCAGAAGTTCTGGGCTTGAATGATGAGACCATGGTCCTAAGCGTCTTCATAGGAAAAATGTAAGTGTTTGGCTTGCCATCAGCAAGAGTCCCTTGCAACTGTAAAATGTGATCTTGGCATTATGCTGCCAGTGCCTTGGTATTCCAGCATTGATCGTTTGCGTCAGAAAATTGTGCATTTGAGTGTGTGACAAGCTGTGCTTAGAGATATGGCCCGGCCCCAGAGCATTCCAGGCTTGTACAGGCAAGGATTTAATTTTGCTCATGTGGAATCTCCTCTATAGCCTCTGGAATCACCGGTGAAACCCTGTCATGGCATTAGCAAAATGGACATCCCTCCCCAGAGGTGCTCAGCCTCTCACCCAATCACCCTGCTGCCAGAGATGCCCAGAGTAGGCATTCGTTTTCTGGTGCTGATTTCCACTAGGTGTGCCCCCCCCCCCCCAGGAGGAGAGCCCCACTTTAAAACAGGCTTATTCCTCTCAAGAACTATCACACTCTTGAAGAGTCTTGAATCTGCAAAATCTAGTGCTATTTGAACTGTCTTCAAAGTTGGAGCTCCTAATTGGCCCTTTTTTTGTTTGTTTGCTTTTTTTTTTAAGTTTTGCCCCCTTTGTTTACATTTTCCCCTTTTTAGGAGCTCAGTATCTCAAAGCACACAACTAGGAGCTAAATATTTTACCCAGGGCTGTGTGCAAAGTGACATTTTTCCCCTTCCAGCCATCCCAATCCTAAACACCCATATTCATGAGCTGGTTAATAATTTGATGCAAAAAGCAAAGGGGGTCTAAAGGACTCTGCCAGCCAAGAACCCGGAAGCAAGGGCTACTAGAATTCTGCAGCTGACAGTGGATGGCGCAGGTGCAGAATTGCATACGTCTGCATGTTATCACTGCCGCAGAAATCTCTTACCCTTGCTGCAGAAATCAGCCCTGGAGTGCCCCAGAATTCCAAGGGCCTGGGTATGGGCCAGTGTAGCTTTGGAACCAAGTAGTGAAGATTATCTGAAGGATAATTTTTCTAGTCAACCAAATGTAAGTACGGAGATTTTATACCCATTTTTTGTGGTTGTGATGTCTGTGAATTGGTGATGCAGATGTGTGGTGACTCTTGGTGGATGATTTTCTTCTTCTTCCAACCCTCAAGGAAACCAGGCAAATCAAAAGTATCTCCTGCTTTTTTTTTCTTTTTGTCCTCCAGCATCACCAACCTGAAGTACTGGGGCCGCTGTGAACCAATCACTTCCAAGACACTACAGCTTCTCAATGATCTCTCCATTGGATATCCTTTTCTAAGCCGGTTTCTGTGCACAGCAGGAACTGTGGCTTGCCACAGTCTTAGAAATCATGGCCTCCTGCTGCTTCCACTTTAATTTAGCTTTATGTGTGCTCAGGTATTCTCCATTCTCCTAGGAGCCAAAGCCAATACCCACACAGAATCCAGGGAGAATTCCAGACTCCAAATAGGAGCCACCCCATAAGCTAACAGTTTCTACAGATTTATGCCTGGTTATCTCTAAGATCCAGAAATACATAGCAGAGCTGTCTGATCAGTATGCACTCTGTGGCCATGATTTTTGCATCCCCAGTGATGACAGAGTCCACCTTGATTGTCACCCTGTTGCTAGAAGCAGCCTGATTCCAGGCCCTGCAGTAAAAGTAGTGGCTGTATTCCCTCTTGGCCTGGACCAAGTCTCCTATAAAGTTTGAATTGCTCTTGAGGCAGGCTTCCACAATCAGGGGTCTACAAGAGACTAAACCCTATAAAAATTAGTGACTTTTAAGATTGTACGTAACTAGTGCCATTCTAAATGCATAAGAGAGAACCTAATTCACCACACACCGTGGATGCCTTAGGCAGGGATTTAGGGCTTAATTTGCTCTTAGGAGCCTCAGTGAGAAAAGCTGTCCTAGGATATTCATGATTCTTGGGGGGGAACTGCTGGGTTTTATCTCTTTTCTTACAGATAGGAGTTTGGTATGGGTATTCTGTCATCAATCAGTTAAATACTGCTTAGAAGAAAACACATTTTTCCCCCCGTTTGGCAGGTGTTATATTCAAGTGCTTAAGGAAAATAAGATAATCTGGGTATGGAATTCATAGCCAAGAAAGAAACTACTTTATCCTAGAAAGTTGCATTCTGCATTAAAGATTCTTCATTTGCACACACTTTCCTTGACCTTCTTTCTTTGTCTTCACATACAGTAGTGTAAGGAAACTAGTGAAGCTTAGTGCGGTACAGTTCATGCTGAACAATCACACGGTGAGTGATTTAGCACCTCTTCCCGGTTCTCCTCTCCAGCCAGCCACCCACACTTCCTCAGCCATATAAGGGGAATGTTTCAATTGAGGTCCGTAGTGCCCCCACAGCCAGAGACTGCTTCCTGACTCCCTTCACACTGCCAGATCACACTTACTCTCATTTGAGCTGCTCTTTGGAATCCAAATTATCTGAATTATGGTGAAGCTGCCTACTATTATTCATAGAAAGATAAATTAGTTGTAGATAACAACAATCATTAAAAAAATTTTTAATCCCACTCATACCCTTAAGGAATGACGATGTGGCCATTAGCTTGAAACGGCTCCTTAATTCTGAAATTCCTGGCTTGCCTTCCGCCTGTGACCCATGTCTTTATCTTTTTAACTTGTCTTCCTTTTTTTTAATAGAGCGAGCACTTTTCATTTCTGGGTATTAACAATCAGTCCAATCTGACAGACATGAGGTGTCGGACTACGTTCTACACGGCACTTGGGCGTCTCCTCATGGTGGATTTAGGTACTGCAATAAATCCTAGAGGCTCGCGTAGTAGTCTGGCATTGTTCTAAATTCTTACTTGAGCATGGAAAACTAGATGTGGGGGAGGTCTTTCCTGTTGTTTCATCAGTAACAAAACTGTCTGAAATAACGATCTGATTTCACCAAGAACAGATCATGCTATAATGGTCCCTGTAACTGGAAGAGAAGAACTATATGTGCCAGAAGTTTTCATCTGATGTGCAGTGATTTTTAAAACCTATTTCATACTTGTCCTCAGAAAGTTAAGAGAATTGAGGCCTAAATGCATGTTGTTGGCCAGATAACCCTCTACCCCACATGAAGGTGCAACCCACTCAAGACAGTCAACACAACTTTTCATGCCCCCCTCCCCCCCCCGCCCAGTTCACTAGCACATGTGAACCCACAAGGCTTAAGAGCCTTTGTAGCTGCCATGTGATATTAGCAGTTTGGGGTCAACTAATGACTGAAACGCAGCACTGTCTTCATTCTGAGCTATTTAAGTTCAATCCTACTATATAACATTACAGAACCTTCCAGGTTTATGGAAGATTAGTGAAAAGAGAGAAGTGTGAAGAGAGCCTCCACAGGCACCTGACTCCAGTACGAGTCTCATCAGGTTCTCATACACCAGACTCGGTCCTTTCTTAACTGACTGTCAGCTGTCACTTAAGGAGAAGTAAATAAAAACCTAGTACCTCATACACATAGGAACCTCTGGTATTGTCAGACACAATGTGGACATCCCTGGACTGGATGACTTCTGGCCATTTTCTAGTTTAAAAATTCTCTCTGTATATTTTATTCTGAAATTAGTACTCATACCCGTGGGGATGATAAAGGGGCCCCCTTGAATTATCCTCGGGTCTGCTCATCTTTCATACTATCTTATTTTCCTTGCATGCATAGCTTTGAATTTTTTATATTGGAGTCACACCCTGGGTTGTTTACCTTTCAGGAGAGGATGAAGATCAGTATGAGCAATTCATGCTGCCACTCACAGCCGCATTTGAGGCTGTGGCCCAGATGTTTAGCACTAATAGTTTCAACGAGCAAGAGGCAAAGGTGAGTCCTTCACCCACTGATTGACCAGTTTCTGCTTTTGGGCAGCCTCTGACAGAAACTAGATTAGCTATTACTACAGAAAATAGTGCTCATCCATACATTTCCCACTG